CCAGAGAAAGAAAAATCAGTTGGAGCTGCCTCATCTGCAGAGGGACTTGAGACACAAGTTCTGGGTTTGCTGCAGGAGGAACGTGCACGGGCCTTGTGCTCCGGGGAGCATCCGGGCAGAGACGCCTCCACTCCGTCTCAAGGAGAGAAAGATGTTTGTTTTTCTTTTTCTTGGAAATAATGATGGACTCTTTCTTAATAAAAGAACTCCTTCGCCTCACTTTCATCTTATGAGTTTGCTGAACCTGAATAAATAAACCCAAGAGAGCTCCAGAGCCCGAGGCTAAAGAGCCTCGGGTGGGAACGTCGCATTGCGTGCGCGGCAGCTCTGTGTGTTGGCCGTGTCCTGCTCCTCTCTGATCTGCCTGAGAACAGGCTCAGCGTTTGCTGGAGGGAGGGAGGACTGTGGGATAGGAAAGCAGGTCACTCCTGGTGATCCAGGAGTGATCCAGAGGCTGGAGGTTGGGGCGCACGGAGCTCAAACTGCCAGCTCGGCTCTTGGAGGCTTTTGATTAAGAAAGCCCCTGTGTGACTCAGCCCATGGTTTGCATGTAGGGCCTTTCCCAGCAGCTGCCTTGTGTGTCCTCATCCACCTTCTTTTTCTCTGGGCTTGCTTTGTTCCCATCCCAAATCCCGGGGCTTCCCCTCCTTCCCACGTGATTCCCTCTTGCTGTCCTGCTGGAGCTCCCGATGGTGACGGCAGCAGCTCCCGGCCTCGTGTGCCACCTGCCCTGATTCCTGCTGCAGGCAGCGGCTGGGAGATGGATCTGGAGGGCTGGGGTGGGGGGAAAAGTGAGGTGTCCACACCAAGGAGCCTCCCAAGTGCCTCCTGGCAGCTCCACACGGGATGGGAGCGGGCGAGACTCCCGATCCCAGCTTCATGTGCAGACTCAGCATCGCCTCTTGCCCAAGATCTTGCATAAAATGCAACAAGTTTTTTTTCCCAGGATGGTGTGGCCCTTGGCAGAGGGATTGCAATGGATCTTCAGTGGATCTAAATGTAAATGGGGCCTTGGACAGCTGGGCAGGGAATTAAAATTCATTTTTCCTGCATCTCCCAGCCTTTTGGTCAGGATTTGGAGAAAAGGAGCAGCTCAGGAGGAAGAGGGTGAAGACACTTTAATGTGCTTTAACCATGAAACACTGCACTGAGATTTCACATATCAAAGTCAAATCCCTGTCTGCTGCCAGTGCCTGAGCTCTTCCCAAGAGCCCAGGGACTTCCCTGGGTATTCCTGGCTGGAACCCAGCATTTCAGTGCTGAAGATTGGAAGCCAATCTAACCATAACTGAGCTGAAATTCCATCCTCACCCTGTGGCTTGTGGCCTTATCCCATTTTTTTTGGAGCTCTGTGAAGGGATGGGAGACATGGTCATAAAAATATTAATTTTATGGTGGCTTTCTCATGGCTTTGAGAGATTTGGTGGCTTAAAAGGGTATGGTCAGGTCAGGCCGAGTTACACAAGAGCCATCAAAGCTTTTGTGGCTTTTTTTTTTTTTTTTTTTTTTTTTTTTTTTTTTTTTTTTTTTTTTTTTTTTTTTTTTTTTTTTTTTTTTTTTTTTTTTATTTGAACACCCTGGGTATCTGCAGCCTCAGCCTTGCCAGTGCTGGAGAAAATGGGAATTAAAGGAGGTGGAAACCGCTCAGCTCAGGGAACCTCAGCTGTGTCCTCTTAAGTGCTGAGGTCTACAAGAGCTGCAGCCTCAAAAACGCAGCATTTTCACACTAAAGAGCTTTTTACAGCTGAGTCAGGGGCTGAATTGGGACCCACAGCCCAGTGGGGGCTGCTCCTGGTCAGGGTGAGATGGAAAATGGCTCAGCAGGAGGCAGGGAAGGCTGGAGACCCTGGTGTGAAACCCAGCCAGGTCCTGCATCCACACGTCCCCACACTGGGAGGGGACAGGGGCTGGGAGGCTCCCGGGGCTCAGGGAGGTGACACTTTGGCTCCTGTCGCTCCCGTTGAGCAACTGACTGGGGCCAAGGGCCGGGATTAGTCACCCCAGCTGAGGCCCAACCCTGGCACGGGGTGGAGGAGGTGGGGGGGTGGTACCCAGCTTTCTGCTGAGCTGGTCCTGCCTGCCCCAGCCCCTCCAAGCCTGGTGTTGGGACAGCCTGAGCCCACCCTGACTGTAGTGGGTGGGTGAGACTGGACGTGTCAGGGTGTGATTTTTGGCGTGAAGGGGTTTGGGCTTCAACCACAGCCACCAAACTGGGATTTGCTGCGTCCCCTCCCTCCATCTTTCAGCCCGTTATGGGGTTCCTGCTCAGAGACTGAACTTCCCCATCAAGTGGTGCTTTCTGAGGGGCATAAAAAGCCTCCCCAAAAAATCCCAAAGCCCCCAGAGCAGACACCCGGTGCCAGCCTGGCAGGAGGCTGCCCATCACTGCCCCGAGGCCAGGGTGATGGTCACCCAGCACCCAGACACCAGGGAGGTGCTGGTGGTGGCTCAGCCAGGAGCCAGCCAGCCCCAGCCCCGGGCACAAAACCCTGTGGGGAGGTTGGGAGAGCTGGGAACAAGGACAGGCCTGGCTGTGGGTCCTGCAGTCCCCACTCAGGACGGGCAGAGCCTTTGCAGGTGGCAGGGCTGGGGTGGCATCCCCCACATGCCCTCAGAATCCTGTTTTGGCAGCCTTTTCCCCACAGCTGCTGACCCCTGTGTATGGGGCTGTGCCACCACCCTGCTGGGAGGGTGGGGGACACTCCCTGGTCCCATGTCCCTTCCCTGTTGGTAAAGGCACTATAACTCATTTATTTGAAAGCTTTCCTGTGTTCCCCTCCTTACACGGTGTCAGGGATGCTGGAGAGAGCATTCCACAGCCACAGGGCAGGGATTGGGGTCCCAATGTCTCCCTTGCTTTCCCCATCACCCTGCATGAAACGGGGGGCCAGCAGGACCCCAGGGAACACCCCGCTCTCCCCAGCACCACAACCCTCTCATGGGAGGTGTCCTGAGGATCCAGGGCCTCCCTCCCAGCCTGGAAAAGCTGCTGGACCGGCTGGGAGCCGACAAGGAGCATCCTCCTCCTACAGGGCCCAGCCAGGCTGCAATTTGGGGAGCTGTCGAAATCAGTTAACTCCTGGGAAGCCAGCGGGAACCCGCGGCCCCAAAAAGCAGCGGGGATGGACACAAACCCCCTGTTAACCCCCTTCTCAAGCACCAGCACCCCCCAGCTCCCACCTTGTCGTGCTCCAGTCTAACCAGTCCGGGCTGCTGGTGTCCCCAGGCCGGCGGGTCAAGGGCCAGCGCGAGCCCTCGGCTCGTTTTTCCCGTTGGCCGCCCCGGTTTGGGTAATTACAGGTCTGGGGTTGGTTCCCAGCCTGGGAGCACTCGGGGTTGGGAGTGTTGGGGCCCCTCACTGGCCTCCCTCCCCCAGGACCAGCCCCTCCCCAGCTCAGCCAGGGCCTGAGGAGCAAACGGGACCTGGAGGGTCCGAACCACGAGAGGTCACAGTGGGGATGGGGAGGGGACTCAGGAGTGGGCGAGGGGCCAGGGGGGCTCACAGGGGTTGATCCCCTCCGCTGGTCTCTGCTCCAGATGAGATGTCCCACCAAGGGCAAAAAGCTTTGAGCAGCCCAACCTCCCAGGGCAGCCACTGCTCTCCCACGGCAGAGCCCTGGCAAACCTCGTTACATCCCTTGCTCCCTGGATACCCCACAGTTCCTGTGCTTCCCCAGTCGCTTCCCTGGCCATGCCTCAGTTTCTCCCAAGCCCAGCAGCTCCTGGCACCCTGTGAGCTGTGCCTTGGCCACGCCAGGGCTTGGGACCGGCATGTCCCCCACGTCCCCACTTCGGGGTTCCCGCCGAACCTGAGTCACGGCGCGTTTCCTCCCGGTATCCCGGTGCTTCCCATCAAAGGCCGGCTCCTGCCCAGCCCTGCTGGATCTGATGAGCTCATAGCCCAGGGTGCCGTGACTGTATTTTATTGTAATTATTTTTCATGTTGAAACGCGCTGTCGGCGGGGGAAGGGATGGGGGGGGGGGAGCTGCGCCCTTCACCGTGGCCTCGTGCCAGGGCCAGGATTGCTGAGCTTTCACCTGCCCCAGCGAGTCCGGACCTTGATGGGGACGTCCCCACCCTTGTGACACCCCAGGGCCGTCCCTGTGTTGCTGACAGTGTGGCTGATTGTGGATCTTCCTCCTCAGAACTTAAAAGAGCCAGTGGAGGAGGACCCACACAGGGGTGTCTGTGACGGGCTTTGGGGTTTGTACCAAGGGGGTGGGATACCCCACTGCGGGGTCAGGGACCTGGGAGCACCTCTTGGAGCAGCCAGCTCTGGGTGGGGCCGGTGGAACCCCAGTCTGGTGGATGCAGAGTTCCCCCCTCAGCCTTTCCAAGGGCTGACAAGGAAAAGGTTTGCTGGGCACCCCAAGACCCTGTTGTGGGGCTGGGTGGGGGATTGAGAGCAGCCGATTTTGGGGGCCCACCCGACTGCTCCCACACCCTGGTGGGATGGGAGGTGAGGCGGATGCCCAGCGGCGGCGGGAGCTGCCCGGACACGTGTGCAGGGAGAGACGAGGCAGACCAGAGGCAGGAGTGCAGGAGACGGTTTATTGGAGACCCACAGAGGCTTTGGCAACACGAGACCCCCCTCCTGGAATGGGGAGGGGGCTGCCCGGACCCCCCCCTTGCCCCGGCCCGGCCCCTCACCTCCTCCTGTCGCTGCTCCAGCCCTCCGGGACAGGGAGGGTTTGAAGCTGGCACATGCCAGGCTGGACACCCCCCTCCCCCAAAAATTGTTAAATAGCAGGGGGGCTGGCAGCCCTCCAGAATGGAGGCACCCTCTCTCCTTTCTTTCCCCCTCCCCGGAGCAGAGGATGGGGGAGAGGGAGGAGGGAGGCCATGCCAAAAAACCACCCCCACTGCCGGCATCCAGGCTTGGGGAGGAAGGGGGGGCTGTGGAGGAGCTGAGGCTCCTTCTCCCCTCCAAAAAACCAACCGACCAAAAAAAAAAAAAAAAAAAAAAAAAAAAAAAAAAAAAAAAAAAACCAAAAAAAAAAAAAAACCAAAAAAAAAAAAAAAAAAGCCACGAAGAGATGCCGAAGGGACCGGAGTGGGGGGCAGGTGGGGGCCTGTCCCCGGCTCAGCAGGGGCCGTTCAGTTCTTGGGCTCTTCGCCAGCCTCGCCGCCGTCTTCCCCGGCGCACTCGGCTGTCCATAGCGTGAGGTTGTCCCTGAGCAGCTGCATGATGAGGGTGCTGTCCTTGTAGGAGTCTTCGCTGAGCGTGTGCAGGTCCCCCATGGCCTCGTCGAAGGTGGTCTTGGCCAGGGAGATGGCCTGCTCGGGCGCGTTGGCGATCTCGTAGTGGAACACGGAGAAGTTGAGGGCCAGCCCCAGGCGGATGGGGTTCGTGGGCTGCATCTCCTTTTTGCTGATGTCCATGGCCTCTTGGTAGGCTTCCTGGGCGTTCTCTATCGTCTTCTTGCGGTCGTCCCCGGTGGCCACCTCGGCCAGGTATCGGAAGTAGTCGCCCTTCATCTTCAGGTAGAAGACCTTGCTCTCGGGGTCGCTCGCCTTCTTGATGAGATACTTGTCCAGCAAGGCCAGGACGTTGTTGCAGACGCCGTTCAGCTCCCGCTCCACCTTCTCCCGGTACTCGTTCACCAGCTGTGCCTTGTCGTCGCCCTCCTCGGTTTTGTGCTCGATGCTGGAGATGACCCTCCAGGCCGAGCGCTGGCAGCCCACCACGTTCTTGTAGGCCACCGACAGGAGGTTGCGCTCCTCGTTGGACAGCTCGTCCCCGTGCTCCACCACGGCCTTCATGAAGTCTGCCATGTCCTCGTAGCGCTCAGCCTGCTCGGCCAGCTTGGCCTTCTGCACTTGGTGGTTTCTTGCCATGGCTGGGACGCGGGCGCGGGGCGCGGACGCTTTGGGCGAGGAGGAGCGGGGCCGGGAGCCGTCGGAGCCTCTGCCGAGCCCTGCCGCCGGGATTCGCTTTTGGCTGGGCGTCGGAGCCTCGAGCGAGAGCAGGAGGAGCCAGCCAGGTCCAAGGAGTGTCCTCCTCCTCCTCCTCCTCCTCTGCTTCCTCCCCGCCGAGCCCGGCCCTTAAAAGGAAAATCGCGGTGAATCATCGCCCGCGGGCGGCGAGCGCTGGGGAGGGGGCGAGGGGGGGGCCCGGCCAACGCCCTGCCCTCCCCGTGGGTCCTCGGTGGGTGCAGCACCCGTGGATGCCCCGAGGGTCTCCCCACAGCCAACGCCCACCCGAGGGAACGCCCATCCCGCTGCTGAAAGGGCTTGGAAGGGCGGCAGCCGGTGGGTTATCGTTTTGGGGGGATGGGGAGGGGGGTACACGGCAGCGTTCGACTCTTCTCACCGACCACCCCCCCCCAAGAAGAAATGGGCCACGGGGTGTGTCCGCTCGTAAAAATGGTTTCCTCCTCCCTCCCCCCCTCCAAAAAAATCATATCACTGTCGTTTTTAATATGGTGATTAACTCGCCGGTAATTGCGAGGGCTTGACGGGCAGGTATTTATTCCCACAGGTGGGGAAACCGAGGCAGAGAAGCTCCGCACCTCTCCCAGGCGCCGCGGGAGGGACCGTCCCGAAACAGGCCATAATCACCCCGTGCCTTTGAGCCGCTGCACAGCGGGACCACCCGGACCCCCCAAAAACACCATCTGCCTCTGGAGCGAGCCGGGATCCAGCCGGCAGCGAGGAGACCCCCGTCCCCACCAACCCTGTGCCCACCTCCACCCCAGGGCTGCGTTTCCCCATCCCACCACCCCCAGCAGGGACTTTTGCCTCCCCTCGAGCTGTCACCCAAGAGTTTTAGGGTTCCTTCTTTAAAACTTTTAAGGTTTTTTTCCACGCTGCCCGTGGGCGCTGGGCCGCGGTGGCAGCTCGGTCGAGCCCCGATTAGGATCAGTGCTGCGCCTTGCGCTGAGTTTCACTCTCGTCCCGCTCGAGCTTGTTGCCACACGCCGGGCTCTGGCACAGCCCGGGCCCCGCTCCCTGCCCAAACCCGGCCTTATCTGCGTGCGGGAGCGTGCGGGAAGGGCAGGGTGGGGCGGGCGCCCGGCGGCTCCGGGCCAAGGCAAAAAGGAGGGGTGTGATTTTTTTAATCAGCCTGACTCGCTGCTTGACTCCTCCCTGTGAACAGCCCGGCCGGCAGCGCCCAGTCGTCCTTCCCCTTCCTCCTCACACCCCGTTCGTGGCTCAGGTGGATCTTGGGGATGGAAGACACAAGAAAGACCCGAGGATGCTTTTCCCAACTGCTTGCAGCTCAGGAAAACACCCCCAGCCTTCACACCGCTCCCTCTCCACCCTGGAAAGTGGGATTTGGGGCTGTTCATCCCCTCCTGGCCAAGCCCCCTGGCACATGCTGGGGTTGGGGTATCCGGGGTACCCCTGCCCATCGAGGGGCTCACGTGGCAGGTGAAGGTGTCCAGCTCCTCCAGCCCCGCTATGTCCCCCTCCCAGTGCCACATGCAGCACCTCACCAGCAATTAGAGCTCCTTCCCCAGGTCAGAGTATTCCTGTGGGAGCAGGTTCTGCCCCATGAGTAGGGAAAAGATGTCTTCCAGAAGAATGGGCACTTAGGAGACCTTGGCCCATCTCCCACCCTTTAACCAACACAAGTCAGACCCAGAGAGACCCTCCAAGAGCTTCCACCAGGCACAACCACACCCCCCCATAGAGGAGCTGGAGCCAAACAGGCACCACGATGTACCCAGCCCTCTAAAATCCATCTCCTTTCCTTGGAAAACCATGAGGCAGCAATGCCTGGGTGGGTTGGTGTGAGCTCACACCCCTTTGGGCAGCAAAGCCATACATGGTTGGGGTCTGCAACCCCCAACCCTGGTGAAGGACTCGCTGCCAGATGGAGCTTCCAGCCCTTGGGATGGTCCTGCCCCACCCTCTGCCTGCATTTGGGCTCCTTGACCCCCTGTTGGCTCCACGGGGAGACCCTGGCAGGATCCCCCTTCCCCAGCAGGACACGTGTGGGGTGTGGATGGTTCAGCCTCGGATCCGGCATCTGCCAAAGGGGCTGAGCTGCTGCCAAATTTTGGCTGTGCCGGGCTGAGAGGAGGCTGCAGGAACGCTCTGCTCTACCGGTTCCGTGGAAAACCAGCGGTGGGTGAAGGGCAGAGCCCCAGATCCCGGCGCAGGGGCTGAGGGTGAGCTCAGGTGCAGCATCACCCCCCGGAGCTCCCACGGGTGCCCTGTCTGCCAAAGAGCAGCACCAGAAGGTGCATCCCAAACCACTCCATGATCCTGTGATCACCCCGGGGAGCAGGGCACCCAGTTAACCCCGGCCCTGGGGATGCTGCTCAGGCCAGTGCACGTCTCCAGTCCCCTGGGCCAAGGGCAGGCGTGGCCTGGGCGGTGGCAGGAGGCAGAGGATGCTCGTGGCCATTCCCAGCGGCACTGGAAGGATGCCCACAGCCTGTCCAGCCACCCCATCCAGCCCTGCCGCTCCCCCTGGCTGGGGGGACGCTGCCAGCTCCCAAAACATCAGTGGAAAACGAATTTTTCCAAGGGGTGCTCACTGTGCCCCAGGTCCCCCAGGCCCATTGCTCCTTCCTCAGCCTGGCTGCACAGGAGGGTACAAAGCCACGGATGGCTGAGACTTGCCCCAAGGCCACCATGCCACAGCCCAGTTTGGGGAGCTCCTGGCTCCCGTCCCCGTGGCCACACAGCCACTGGCAGAGGGGTGCCAACCCTCTGTGGCTCCCCTTGGCTCCCAGCCCGGCGTGGCACCGGCGTGCCCAGGCACGAGCCGCCCCCAGCAGCCAATCACCGGCCTACAGTAAATAGGAGAAACTTTTATTTTTGTTACAAAAGTCAAAGGCATAAATAGATGGTGAGTCCTACAGGGCTGGGGGCAGGCCTGGCTGCTCCGCTCAGCTCCCAGCCCGGCCGGAGCAGGGGAGGCTGCTCGAGGTGCTGCAGGGCTGGAACTCCTTCCCCTAAAACTAGAGCTGGGCTAAGATGAGGCTGGAAACGGGGAGCCAGGGGGGTTGCAAGGGCAAACTGACCACGTACTAACTCCTGCCTGGAGAGGAGAATCCTCTGGCACACGGAAGGGCTGGTGGGTTTTGGGTGTGTGATGCCACTGGCTGGGCTGTAAACGTTCTGCTGCCAACCTGCTCCTTCCAAAAGCCCGCTGGGGTGCCAGCCACGACCTTCCAGCATCTGCAGCGGGGAGACACCGTCACTGAGGGTCACGCCGGTGGTCACAGGGAGCCACCGGCGGCAGGAGACAGCAGGAACTCCAGTTATTGCACTCGGGTGGGACGGCTGTATGGCTTTGAGCTCCGAACCCGCGGGACGGGCCGTCCCGGCTCCCGGAGCGGGGTTGGAAAAGCTTTTTTTTTTTTTATTTCCTTGTGCACGGCCGCTTTTCCCCTCCCCTCTCCCTGGCGGCGGGAGGGAGGGAGGCGCGGCCGCGCAGCCCTGGCGAGCGGAGGCACTCGTGGTGGTGGTCATGGCTGTGGGCTCAGCTTCCCGTGGGATGCGCCACGGGAGGCGGAGGGCTGCGGGCTGCCAGGGCTCCGGGTGCTGGATCCGCCCGGCGAGAGGGAGAGGAGAGGGGAGGAAGAGAAAAGAGAGGGTTAGTGCCAGAAATATATGAGCAGCAGGAGCAGAGTGGAGAACCTGGGCTTGGGGGCAGAATGGGGACAGTCCGGGATGCAGGAGGAGGAGGAGGAGGAGGAGGAGGGAGGAAGGGGCAGTGGTCTCCAGCACTTCTCCCAAAGCGGTAGGAGCTCGTGGGGTGCTGGAGGGAAGGAGAGAGGCAGCTCTGCAGCCCACAAGTGACACAGGTCATCATGATGTGCCCTGGAAGGAAATTACCTGGGCCACAGGCACATCAGAGAGGGAACCGGGTGTTGCAGAGAGGAAAACAGGCCGAGGGGAGGGAGGGGAGGGACTGCCCGGCCCATGGGGTGGGTCAGGGCTGGAGTTAGAACTCTGCTCCAGCTTCCACCGCTCTGCTCAGGCCACAGCTTGCTCCGAACACTAAATCTCTGCATCCCTGGGGGCCCTTCTCCAGTCCCATCACAGCAGCTCCACCAAACACAAAGCAGCCTGGTGTGTCCTCCAGCCAGCCCCAGGACCCCTCTGCCAACCCCCATCCACACCCCCATCCCACACACCCCCCTTGCCAAGGCCCCAGCACGACACTGGGGGAAACCAAACCCATCCCTCTTCCTGCAAAGCCTTCAGGTGACCCTTCATCCACCCAACCCAGGACTGGCAGGATGGATGGATGGATGGATGGATGGATGGATGGATGGATGGGGCTCATAGATGCCAACACAACCAGAGGGTGATGGGCTCCATGCACAGAGCTGGTCATGCAGTGGAGATGAGATGGGTGGCTCGAGTGGATGGGAGGGAGAAGAAAGTGGTTTCTTACCAGCCAACCCTCAGAAATCAGGGCTAAGGTCCGAGGAGGGGCAAATCCCATCAGGCTGTGCAGGAAATGGCAAAGTCCTGGCAGGCATCCTCCTGGGGAAGACACCAGAGGTTATGCACCTCAGCACCTGCCACGGGGCCAGGGGAGCTGGGAGAGACAGGGAGCACAGATCCCAGTGAGGTGGGTGGGAAACAGACGCTGAGGTGACAACAGGAAGGGGATAAGACTCTGCCCAGCCTGGAGATGTGGGACAGCAAAATCCCTTCACTCCAGCAAGAGTCACAGCAGCACCAGCTGCTGCTCATCCCTCATAGCAGGATGTTCCAAGAGCTTCCAGGTGAGGCCTGAGCCTAAAAGAGTCCAGCTGCCATCTGAGAGATGCCAAACACCGAGACACCTGCCCTCTTCTGTCTTCAGGGAATAAAATAATAACCCAAGCAATTAACTCTTTAAAAATAGAATTTTATTGAGTAACAAAGGAAACTGGTTTAAATAAAAACAGGAAGGATTCTGGCCCCTGGTAAACCCCCCCAACGCTGCTCCTCTGCCCTCCCCCAGGCACAGGCACACAATGTACAGAGCATGATGCTGGTGAATTCAGGGGGGCTGGGCTGCCCCCCAAAACGTGCTGCCTCTGCCTGAGGTTGAAATAGGTGTGTCTGATCCACGGAAACCTAATGAGCAGCTCAACACTGCAAGCCCCTGCCCTGGTGCCAACGTGCACAACGCTCCCCGCCCCGGGTAGAAAACGTTCTATGTAGAAAAAAACCCCTACAAATTGTGCAAAAACATCCAGCAGCTTTTAATAACTTGATTCAAGTATTGCTACAAGGTTTGTGGCTCTCCCTGCACTCCAGGGACACAGAGCTGGCTGCAGAGTGATGGTCATGGGTGAGCCCAGGCGGTTGGAATCACTCCTGAGAGACTGGGGACATCCCTTCATGGATGAGCCCAGGAGGCTGGAATCACTCCCAAGGTGCTGGGACCAGCCCTGGGGGACACTCTGCTGTCCAGAAACCCAAACCAAGAGCAGATCATGAGGTTATCAGGCCCTCTCACTGCTTCCTCTGGAAAACTCTACCTAGAAAGGGTGCAACCCTCAGGAATTCACACTTTTCTGTTGATTTGTGGTCTCCTACAGACAGGACATAACCCTGGCAGGCTACAGCTCCCAAATATGATGGCTGCAGACTTGCCAACCTGCATGTCATGAGGGGAGTCACAGAGCACAGAGTGTTTCTTCTTCCCTGTTAAAGGAGGGTCCCCCAAACTCGTGTGTGCTGCTGCAAAACGTGTCTGACCGACCGGCAGGGCCGAAACACGGAGTCCTTCAGCCCCTCCCTCAGCAGCCAGCCAGAAAACAGGATCAGCAGCACCTGGGATATCCTCACTAACTTTTAGGTCTGCTGGGAGCCAGAGTCCTCCCAGCTGAACAGCCCAACTTACCACGGCACAGCAGCTCCTGGACAAGGAAAGCCGCTCCGGCAGCGGCCGAGGGGAGACCCCGGCTGTGAAGGGACAGAACGGCCCTTCCACATCAGAACAGGGGAGCAGGATGTGTTCGTGGAGACAACAGGGATACCAAGGAGCTTGGACCTCCTCCAGCCCAGAGTGGGAAACATTTTCCAGTCCCCACCTGCCACCCTTGGCCCACCTCAGAATTCCCAGCGGGAATCACAGCGATCCACTGGAGCACACGCTGGGGGCTCCGAGGTGCAGCTTTTGGCACGAGTCCCAGAGTCCCACAAGCTGTCAGGCTCTGCCAGCCAAAAAGTCCTGACAGGCCACATCACAGTGAAACAAATAAACAAACAAACAAACAAATAATAAATAAATGTAAAAAAAAAAAAAGAAAAAAGAAAAAAAGAAAAAGAAGGCAACGTATGGCTCGAGTGAGTCTTTGGCAGCTCTGGGTCACAGGGCTGTCCTGCCTGAGGCTGGGGAGGTGGTGAGAGGGGAAGGTACTGGCTGGAGCAAGGTGCAGGCACAGCAGGCACTGGGAACATCACAGCACTGCTAGGGAAGGCCTCCTACCATGCTGGTGTCAGTTTTGGCTCCAAAGGAAGGGATTTCGCTCTTAGGACTGGATGGGGTCCCGTTATCTGGCTGGATAAATCCTCTTCTGTCTATCAAACTGGAGAACAGAAAGGGAAGAGGAGTTAAGGGAATGAAGATTCTGAAGCCAGGAGCTCCCAAGCCACAGGGAGGGCTCCCCCTGGGAGCTGCCAAACAAAGCAGGGCAGGATGCTGGAGAACAAACCACAAGCTTGTCACACGAGCCACCAGCCAGCCCACAGGCACAGAGAGCTTTGGGTCACCACAAACCCAAAAGGGAACTGGCCAAAGGTCTTCACAGCACAAAACCAACTGACTGAGGAAAGAACTGGAGTAAAACCCTATTCTCATCCCCACAACCTCCCAGCTAACAGCTGGGCTCCCTGAATCCACAGATTTAGCAGCTCTGAACGGCAGCACTGGCATTTTGGCACATGTGAACCCAACAAAGATCTTGGGGGGGGGCACTTCAGAGCAGGGCCTGATGTAGCTGTAGACGTGACTTTGACCCTCCATGCTGCTGCTGTTACAGATTTAGCACCTTGGAGATGCTTCACCTGAATCCAAATTGGATCCTCTGAACAGGCTCATCTCGTGGATCCCCACGTGCCCCAGGACAGAGCAAGAGCTCCAAGGCAGGTCCTCAGCTCCTGTGGCAGAGCCTGACTCTGCCCAACTGCACCATCTTGTGACCAAGCAGTGATTATCCTGTGCTGCAGGTGACTCACACCTAGGTAAGAGCGTTTGGGGGGGGGTGATCCTGAGCAGTCCAGGTGATCCAAGTGTTGGTAGAGCCCAAGGTCTCTGCACTGGCTGGTGTAGTCAGAGTACAGGAGGAAAAACATGCTGAAAATCATAGAATCGTGGAATGGTTTGGGGTGGAAGGGACTTAAGAGTCATCTCATTCCAACCCCCTGCCATGGGGACGAGAAGTAATGTCAGTACTAGCATTGACCATCTTCTGCCAAGCCCTTTGATGCTGTGACTCTCCCCTTATTCAGCTGCAGGACGTGTTTTATCTTCAAGTTCCATGAAACAGTTACAAGTCACCCAAACTCATCAAGCTCCAACACAGAAGCAACAGTTCATCTCCCACTCACTGCAGAGTGGGAAACTGTTTCCTCCACATCACCAAAGCAGATGTGTTTGTGCTGGGAGTTTCCCCTGAACCACGATGAATCCATCCTTTCCCACAGAGCAGGATGCCATTCCCAAGGCTGTGGAGGCCCAAGGCTCTTACCTGGGATGGAATGGTCCACACAGCACCGCACAGCAGTTTGTGAGGATACTTTTATGGCTGTAGGGATTGGCAAACTCTGAGCCCCTCTTATTTGACCAGGACCCTTTGATCTGAAAGGGGAAGGATGGACACAGATCAGGATGGGAAAGATGTGGGAGCAGATAATGACAGGATGATGGACTCAATACTGGACTCGTTCGGGTCCTCGCTTGCGAGGTTGAAGGTTTCTCTTGCTGCAAACATCCTCCCTCTTTGCTTTAACAAGCAGCAAAGTGCTGCCTCTTCCTATGCCAAGATTCAGCCTTGCAGCTGGAAAGCTCTGAAGCTGTGCCCTCCCTGTGCTGCGTGGCAACGTGTCACTGTCACCACCTGCCACGCCAGCCTCCTCCTCCTCGTCATCCTCCCCTCTCCAAGGCTGAAAGCCCATCAGAGCAGGACTCCAGCTCGTGGTCCCTCTTGGGCCCCTCAGGGCTTGAACAAACAAGGAGGGGATTCCCAGCTCAGGCTGCAACCAACAGCCTTCTGTGTGTCCCCACCCTGAGCAGCTGTCACAGGACTCTGCTTTCGAAACCCCGGCCGCAGCAGGCGTGGGCACACACGGGTGGGCAGATGCTATACCTGGCCTCAGGCCCCCAGCTCCAGTGAACCATTTACCAGCACATTTACCAGCACATTTCCTCCTCTTGCTTTTATTTCCTCCCCCCTCCAGCTGCAACAGAAGGCTGGCAATGAGGCCAGAGAGGCAATGGGCCGCTGGTGCTCTTGAAATTGGGGTACAACTTCCATGAGCTTCACTTACACTGCCTTGAGCAGTTCTGCCACACCTCAAGTGGAGAGGAAAGGGGAAAAAGCCAAAAAAAAAAAAAAAAGGGATGCAAACCTGCCTTCTGCAGTGCTGGAAGCTTCCAGCAAGGATGATTACAGGTACTTCTGGCCAGAAGGGTGAATTTTGATTCCGAGGATCAGACAGATCCTGCTTTTCCATACAATTTGCCCCACTCAGGGCACTCATTTGGCCCTTGGAGTCTGCATGCACGTCAGATTTGAAGGTAAATCTCATCAGATGTCTGTGCATTATTTGCTAATTAGAGATGAGGAACCGCCAGAGACAAAGGGACTCGCCCAGGGTCTCAGAGGAAACCCGTGGTTACACAGGATGCTGAATTCACATCATCAAATAAATCTCTGGGGCCAGCCTTCCCTTTTTTAATCTCAGAACTCCTAATTTTAAGCGAGGCCACAAACAGACTGGAAAAAACACACACGTGATGGTTCTAACTCAGCTACCTGAAACTGCAGCCTGAATGCCCTGGGCACAGGCTGCTCGCTCTGCACTGGGTTATCACAGGCAGCACATCTTACAGAAACACTGCACTGAGACAGCCAAGGATTCCCTGAAAACCTGCTCAGGATGGATCAGGGGCAGCCTGGCAGAAGGAGCATCCAGGTACTGATACAGAAGGACAAGGTACTTACATCTTCATTTGTCGTCAGGTTGGAGGCGACTAAATAAGTGTGAAAACCTGAGAGGCCCAAAATAGACCAGACTGAGAAAAAACAGATCACCAGCTCCAGCACAGTGAAGTAAAAGTCAAGGAACTCTCAAGGAACAAAATCATCCTGCAAGGAGAGGCAGAGGACTGTTTGGGGAGGTTTGGGCAAGCTTCCCATTCCCTGTGCCGGTCTGCAGGGATCCACCAAGGCACAGCCTGTTCCAGCTGCTTCCCTCTCCATCTAAACTTGCAAACTGGGAAACAAGTTTGTCACCCACCCTTACAAAGAGCTCTTGGCCCCTCCCTGTTTAATTAGTACTGCTGGGCACCCCAAGCAGCCGCTGGCAGCACAAGGATATCTTGCGGGTGTCGTCTTCAGAGTGGCCAGGAATCCATCCCTCTGAGAGCCTGCAAAGCAAAACGGGACAAGGAATGGCATCCCCTCAGGCAGCCCTGCCTCTCCAGCCAAAACTCCCCTCCTGAGCAGGCAGACACCTCCCTGTGAGCTCTGGATCTGCCTGTCTGCCTGAGCAACATCTGCAGTCTGGGACTTGGCAGAAATGTCAGCGCACACACACGGCTCCAGGAGATTTGGGGCTGATGGGAAAGTCACCTTCTCTGTCAGGTTAGGGGTGGATTCACCACCGGCTCGTCTGCTCTGGGTGGGGAGAACTCCATCCCCAGCTCTCAGGCAAGCAAGGTGCAGGTGGATCTGTGGTTCCCTGAAGTCTGGGGCCCCGTTTACTCGAGACCCATGCTCAAAACCCTGGTGTAACCCAACCAGGCCCTTCCCATGCTCTGTCCCAACAGGAGCAGTGACCCAGAGCTGCCTGAGGTTGTTGGTGGCCCTGAGCACAGCACACAGCAGCGGCAGGACCTGTGGTACTCACGCAGGGTGAGGTGGGTGACGACGCAGGCGAAGATGAAGGCGGTCAGGAAGGAGAGGGAGAGGATGAAGGCGTAGAAGTAGCGATAGTTGCGCTTCCCCACGCAGTTCCCCACCCAGGGGCAGTGGTGATCGAATCTCTCTGGAACACAGGGGCACGTGAGGGACAAAGTGAGGACTCCTGCCACCTCAACCCCAAAGTGGAGCAGGCTCTGCTCAGACTCCAAAAACGAGGAGCTACAAATCGAGCTTCCACCCACCATCCGGAGACCGCAACCTCTCCACAGCAGCAGCAGCAGCAGCACGTAGGCACAAAGTTTCAGTGGAGCATTGCTGCCTGCTCACATGGTCTTTTTTGCCATCAAACCTTTCCTCTCACAACCTGTTAAACACAAGCCTTGTGACTGGTAACTATCACTACAGCCTGAAAGGGAAGAGGGACGGGGCAGGAGTTCTTCCAGCTCCCAGCGGCGCTGGGTGTGTGTGCACGTGGCAATCGCTGCTCCCTCCTGGTGTGTCAGCTCCCCACTCTTTCTTAGGGGCAGAAACACTTCTCCAAGCTATAAAGATACACCTCAAAACCCACAGAAACTGCCTGGGAACCTGGGGAAGGTGCAGCGTATCTGCAAACACCCTAATGAAAGGGCTGACAAGACTGTGGTAACCATTTCATGGGGAGCATCACTGCAAACACCACCCCCAGCACAGCCTGCTCCCCCAGACACCTCCTCTGCAAACGCTGCTGCTTTCCAGCCTCAGGAGGAGGCACAGCCACCCAGGGCTATCCCCAAACACCAGCAGCTACGATGGTGTCTCTGCCAGCCTGGGGACAGCAAGGCCACACACAGCAAGGAGCCTGCAGCAAACCTCATTCGGTGGAGGCCTGAACTGCATTTTTCAGAACCATCCTTCCAGGAGCAGGAAAAACAGAGACACAGAGTCTTGGATCTAAGCCACTGCACTGGTGCTGCTTTCACTTTAAATGGGAACGAGACAGACGCCCCCATTACTTTGTTTTTTAATCCTTTAGAAGAAAAAGCAATCTGTCCAGGAACACAAGCGACAGGATCCGTGACACGACTCAAGGGAATGGTATTGAAGTTGTGTCAGGGGAGGTTTAAGTCGGATATTAGGGAGAGGTTCTTCCCCCAGAGGGTGTTGGGGCACTGAATAGGCTCCCCAGGGCAGTGGGCACAGCACCAAGGTTCAAGGAGCTTTGGGAAGACGCTCTGAGGGACAGGGTGGGATTGCTGGGGTGTTGTGGGCAGGGCCGGGAGCTGGACTGGATGACTCTTCCAGCTCCAGATCTCCTCTGATCACACAGTTAACCCCCTTTTCCCCCTCAGACAGCAGCCCCTCTGCCCCTGCCCTGCTCACCGACGCAGTTGTCGCAGACGCTGCAGTGGGAGGTGCGCGGGGGGCGGAACATCTTGCAGGTGTAGCAGTACTTGAGCTTCACCACGTACTTGTTGATCACCACCTCCATGGTGCGGGCGGGAGGGCGGTACGTGGAGGTCCCCATGCTGTCTGCAAGGGCAAGGAGGGACACTCAGACCCTGCACCCCCACCCTGAGCTGCTTCCCGGCACGGGGAAGGGGCTGGCACGTGCTCCTGAAAGCCAAGAGGCAGCCAGGAACTCCCCTCAGCTCCTCACAGCATTATTTATGTCCTCCCTTTGTTCAGTGGCAACGCTGCTGGGATGCCAAGAGGAAGCAGTAAGTGCCCAGTGCTGTGAGAACGTCAGGCAGTTTCGAAATAGGGGGTGTAAAGCAGTGCCCAGCTCGTCTCTGCGCGTCCAGCAGGTCACAACATCCGTGAATGCGCGTGTGGTTCCTCCTCTGCTCTGACAGCAGTCAGGGTGGCCTCAGCAGGAGCATCCCTGCCACTGCCAGCACACCACCTGCCACCCCACAGCTGGAGCTGTGGCACCACCGGCCTCAAGGGAACTCATTTCCATCACTGCAGGTGCCAAGTGCTCCAGCAGATTCCCTGAGATTTGAGGTGTGTGTTTTCATAGCCATGAGAGGATTCCTCCTCCTCCTCCCCAAGGTGGAAAGTGAAGATTTCTAAAAACACAAGTTATATCTGTGTGGGATGCCACTTCATTATTCTCTGGGGACTGGCAGCTGGAGACTGCTGCCCTGCAAAGCAAAAGCTGGAAAAACCCCTGCATCATGTTTGCAATTTTGGGAATTATTCCTTTCAGTCCCTCCCAAAAGAGCACCTTCCCAGCTCTGAGGGAGTCTTTGAAAACAGTGATGCAACAGTGAGCATGTTAAGAGGATAATAAGTGGATTATATTAACAGGAACAGCTGGCACATCAGGCAGCATCTGCAGCCAGATTACTGCTTTGGGCCCTTATAAATAGAAACATTGGATCATCACTCCGGGGATATTTTAAACCCATTTTTTAAGTCAGATGTAGAATTACTGCCTTGCAACTGTCTTCAGTGGGACAGACTCAAGCTGTCTCACACCAGCTTTGCTAAAGCATTTTTTTACAACCAGCCACACCAACAAGGTCCAAAGCTCCTGGATGCAAACACCTTCTTGGCTGTCCCCAAACCAGCGTGACAGAGCAGTTTTCAGAGGAGGACAAACATCAGCCTCCACTAAAGAACACCCTGCAGCACGGCAGGCTCAGTGGCAAAGCACGATCTTAAAAAGCATTAATTATCCTTCAACTTTGCTGCCTGGGAAGGCGATGGGACTGAGCAGGAATAAATACCACCCCTGATGCTCTGCAGATCCTCTCTGAGCACTGCCTGCTGTGCTGGAGGAGCTCGTTGCACCTCTTACCAGGACTCACAATCTGATACTCTGATTTCTTCTCCCCCTCCCCGGACAACCAGTAAGGAGCCAAGACCCAAAAAGTGGGGCTCACTGGAATGTGTGTGTGCACGGACACACAGCCATGCACTGAACCAAACAGGGCAGAGGGAACAGAGTTCTCACCAATCCGTTTTTCCAGGTCTGCTGCTTCACTTGGGGTGGCTCTGGGCAGGATTCCTGGGTCTCTGAAGCTTGTCTGGAGCAGGCAGCTGATGACAAAGAAGAAGAGGACGGCGGCGATGATGGGGATGGCCAAGGTCAGGTGAGTGGCAAGGAAGGGGCAGCTGTTAAAAACATGGATAAAATGGCATTGTTATCAAGCACTGTAGAGAACCAGGTGCCAGCTGGGACACTCCCACCAGGAATTATCACAGGGTAGTGGGCTCAAGCACTGCTGCTTTGTGGAGACCTCTGGGTGTGACAGCCTTTTTGGGGTTATCAACCTTTCTGGAGGTGTCCTGTGCAGAGCCAGGAGCTGGAATCAATGATCCTTGTGGGTCCCTTCCAGCTCTGGATATTCTGATTCAACGAACAGCAAGAGCTGGAGTGGCGCTGCTTCCTGGCCACCAAGACACACCAAGGCCCCTGCACGCCACCTCTTTTGTCTTCTGAAGAACCAGAATCACATCTCAAAAACCCCCTCAAAGCTGCCCCAAAGCCTGGTCACCTCTACAGCAGCACCACCAGGAAGACAAAAACAGCAGAGGACACACACAGTGCCACAGGCCCCTCCTGCAGAGGGGTTTGCTGTCACAAGCACTGATCACACGCTGCACAGACGGACAGGCTGCCCCAGCCCTGGTGTCTGTGGGCAGTGCTCAGGCTCAGCAATGCTCTGCAGCGGTTTTGAGAGGATTAAGCAACTTTTGTTTCACCTCCCGAGCTCAGCTGTCCCAAACAAAGCAGCCACCAAGCAACAAAGCCCCTTCAGCCCAAGCCCCTTGGTTGTCTCTCTGGCAGAGGGACAGAAGGGTCTGTGAAAGGAGAGATGTGATCTTGTTATCAACTCTTTCCTGGGAGAATCTCTGGTGCCCAGTTTGCCCCATCGGGGAACAAGAAATCACATAAATCAGAGAATTCCAGAATGGTTTGGGTTGGAAGGGACCTTATAGATCATCCAGTTCCACCCCCTGCCATGGGTAGGGACATCTTCCACTATCCCACATTGCTCCAAGCTCCATCCAACCTGGCCTTGGACACTTCCAGGGATGGAGCAGCCACAGCTTCTCTGGGCAACCTGCTCCAGGTTTTCCCATAAAAACACGAAGTGTAGACACAAGCAAGACTGCTGTAAATCCAGCAAACTGTAACCCGTGACAGGGAGGTATCCTGCTAAAATAACAACTCGGAAAGCCCCAGGGCATCTTCAACCCCAAGAGAGTGACTCGGCAAGGAGGGAGACAGAGCAGATGTCCTCTGCAGGGCCACACAAAGCAGTCACTGTGCTAGAGCTGCCCGTTAGTCCCAGACCCAGCGGAGGGAGCTGTCAGGGGCACGGATGGCGCGAATAAAGGAGTTTTTCCAGCGGGATGCTGTGACTGCCTCCCGCAGCTGCCTGCCCCTCTCGGCTCATCTGACTTCTCAGAACCTCTAATCCGATCAAATGCCTTCATCTCACCGCCAGCAGGCTCTGCAAGCTTTACTCCAAGACTTGCAGGGAGTCCAAAGGCAGGCACTGCCCTCCCGCTCCAGGGAAAAGCATCTCCCTTCCCTCCCGAGGCAGGGCAGCAGAATCCCTCTGAGGTGCCAGTAACCCGCGGTGCTCCTTCCCTGGTTCCCCAGGGCAGTGCAGGACATAACGGGGTGCTCCTGGCTCTCCCCTCTCCCAGGGTGCAGGAGCAGGGAGCTTCCCTGGAGCAGCTTTCCAAAGGAAAGGGGGCTTGGGACATGCAGCTCCCTCTTCCCCGGACACGGCTGCACAACGGGGGCAGAGCTCCAGTGCAGACCCTCGAGGTGGGACCCCCAAGGATTTCACCACTTAACAGAAACACTAAACCGAGATCCCAGAGGTGGACAAAGCCCACCAGCCTCGGGGGTTCCCGGGCTGCAATTTTGGGCCAGTGCTGTCCTTGGGAGCAGGAGGGGACATTGGGTCAGGGTGGGGAGGGGGTTATTTAGAGACCGTGGGGGATCCTGGGGAGATGTTAAACCCCTCCCCGGGGCCAGACTAAGCAAACAAGGTGCAGGGGGACCTCTGGGCCCCCATAAACACACCTGGGGACAGGTGATGGGGCAGTGACTGCCTGCAAAGGGGGTCTGGGGACAGTGACTGCCTGCAAAGGGGGTCTGGGGGCAGTGACTGCCTGAAAGGGGGTCTGGGGGCTGTACGCTGGGGAAAGGGCTTGGAGGGGTCAGTGGGGAGGAAGGGGGGATAACGGGGCTCCCACGGAGGGGGGAAGGTGCCCCCCCAGCCCACCTCCCTCCACCACGAGGACAAGGGTGGGATGCCAACCAACCCCCAGCTCCCCCGAACGGAGGGGGCTCAAAGAGGGGGGGGACAAGGGCTGACTGCGGGGAAGGAGCCGAGGGACAGCCCCCGCACGGCCTCACCGCCCCCAGACTCACTCGAAGGCGAAGAAGAGGCCGCTGGTGACCAGGATGAGGCCGAGGGTGAGGACGAAGACGCCGCTGTGCCGCGCCAGCATGAGGCGGCCGCCGCAGAAGAAGCGGTTGCGGCCCGGGAACACCTCCCACTTCCTGCGGGGCCGCCGCGGCCGCGGGGGGACGGCGGGCGGCGGGGGCGGCGAGGCGGCTGTGCCCGGGCCCGGAGTCGCCGCCGCCGCCCCGGGCGGGATCTGCCGGTACTCGCAGTCCTTCATGGCCCCGCCGCGGCGCCCGGAGCCCCGGCCCGGCCCGGCCCCGCTCCCGGCCCGGCCCCGCTCCCGGCCCGGCCCCGCTCCCGGCCCGGCCCCGCTCCCGGCCCGGCCCCGCTCCCGGCCCGGCCCCGCCGGTGCCGCCCCGCGCCCCGGGCCCGCCCCGCTGCACAGCGCCCCCTGCCGGCCCGCCGCCATAACCGGAGCGCGCTCGGACCGGAGCGGCCGAGCCCGAGCCCGGGACCCTGATCCCCATCCCGATCCCGGGACCCTGATCCCCGTCCCGAGCCCGGGACCCTGATCCCCATCCCGATCCTGGGACCCTGATCCCCATCCCGAGCCCGGGACCCCGAGCCCCATCCCAACCTCGACCCCGGGACTCCTGATCCCCATCCCGAGCCCAGGACCCTGATCCCCATCCCGAGCCCGGGACCCCGAGCCCCATCTCGACCCCGGGACTCCTGATCCCCATCCCGAGCCCAGGACCCTCGATCCTGACCCCGCCCCCGATGCTGACCCCGGGACCCTCGATCCTAATACCCTAAGCCAGAAATCCCCGACCCCAATCCCAACACCAACACCCATCCCGATCCCAACCCTGACCCCGATCCCGAAATCCCAGACCCCAATCCCAACACCAATCTCTATCCGAACCTCGGGACCCCTGACCCCTACCCCGATCCCAACCCTGACCTCGGATCCCAATCCCAACCTCGGGACCTTCCATCCCAACGCCGCCCCCTGCCCGGCACAGTGGGGTGAGCCGCCCCTCCGGTAACTTTCACGTGTTTATTAGGGATGTGCGAGTTCCCAAACACACCGGCCCCAGTCCCGCCACCCCTCCCTTGGCCCAGCCCCAGCCCAGCCTGGCTCGGAGCCGTGGAGAAGGAACCAGCGTGGTCTGAGCTGCTCACAGCAGCTGGATCCTCCCTGTCCTCCAGCTGTGCCCACCAACAACGCCCCAGAGGGTTCCCAAATCCATCACGAGGGTCCTGCCATAAATCTCCCGCAGGAGATGCAGGAACCGAGGTGCATTCCCATCCCAGGGAATGGGAATTTTGGCTGTCAGTAATGACAGCAGAGCAGGACACTGCACCATCACACCACGGAGGGACACAGCAGCTCCGTACACACGTAGTAACAAGGGAGTAACACCTTTGTAACTGCAACAGCAGCAGCATCACAGCTACCTCAGGCTTCCAGAAAAAGTGAGTTTCGATTCTGACCGCTCCCAGTCTGGGCCAGCACATCCTGCTACGTCCACGGGAGGAAGTTGCAGTGCAGGAGCAGTCCCAGCAGCCAGTAGCACAGGAAGAATCCCAGGATGCCCTTGCTGAGGGGGGTAATTAATCGCCAGTTCAGCAGCAGCCTCACAACAGGGTTATCAGGAGTCCCTTTCCCACAGGAACCGGGAGATTCGCCTAGGACAGACCTCCCAGAGGGTGGATTATCAGTCCCTGTGCTCCAGAGTAAAGGTTCGTGTTCCTGAAGCAGGTGAGCTGAGAACCAGTACAGGATGGGAGAGGAGGAGCCAAGGAACCGGGTCAGCACCTGGAGACAACAGGCAGAGCAAAAATCACACCAACTTTGGTTATTCTTTCACTGGAACTCCCAAACTTTGGTGCCACCAGCTGTGCTCTGGATCTTTCCACTGCCATCCATTAAGCTCGGCCCAACATGACAAGGATCCAGTATCCTTGGCCCCCAAGGACAGCAGTGTAGTTACACCAGAGCCACTGATCCCTGTCACCGCGTCCCCATCACACTGAGCACCCAGCAAGCTCTTTGGGAACTCTCCAGAGGAACTAACTGGCTTCGGATTCTCTGGGGAAGTAGCTCCCAAAGAGGAAAGGCAAAGCTTTTGGTTTCCATTCCCCACAGCTTTGGGCTGTGCCTGTCCCTCCCTCAGACCCCATAAGGAATGTGTGCCATGAGTATCCTACCTGCACGTGCATGCAGGAGAATCCAAAGGCCAGCAGGGCCATGGCATGGACCACGTACACGAAGGCAGCAGGGCAGCAAAATCCATCTCTTGGCTTTTCCTCCTCTTCGCTCTTACTTCTCTCCAGACCAAGAGTCAGGCAGTGCCGGGGGTTTGTGCTGACGTAGGTCCAGGCAGCCCACGAGACCAGAAGGGTCACAGGCAAAGCCAGCAAGAAATTCGGGATCTGCCTGAGCTCAAAGTACCTTAGAAAGCCCACATTCCAGTAAGCGTCTTGGATGTAGGAATAGACCACAGGGACCCTCCAGGAGCACCAAGGGGGTTTAGCCCCATCCATGGCTGCCAGATGATAGCCCTTGTCCCGAGCCAGCTGCAGCAGTGGCTCGGGAATGGCCCGATCCAGGCCGGTGCCAGGACCACAGAACCTCACGTAGGCATAGTACTGAAACACAGCAAAAGGCAGAAAAATGCCAGCACTCATCAGGACCGCTGGAGATGCCAGGCTAAGGAGCTGCTTCCACAACAGAGGGAGCTTCCTTAGGGATCCCGGTCCCACCTGCAGCTGGAGGGCAAAGCGCTTACCCTGGGAGTAGAGTAAGAAGCCAGCGTTAATCAGCCCGTTGGCGCGCGCCCCAGAAGCCAGGGAGAAGAGCAGCCCACTGAGCCAGCTCTGCCCCTTCTCCAGCTGCCACATGGCAGCGAATGCCAGGAAAGCAAACACGCTCTCCGAGTAAGCGGCTGCCATGAACACGTTGGCAGGGCTGAGGGAGAAGAGAAGGGCAGCGAGGAAAGCCACGCGGCGCCGCCGCAGCACGACGCGGCCCAGCTCGTACAGGGCAGCGGCTGCCAGGGCGGAAAACAGGGAATTCAGCAGCACGGCCGAGAGCAGGAGGCGGCTCCGCAGCCGCAGCAGCCGCTGCAGGGGCCACAGGAACCCCCTGGCCATGGCCCACAGGCTCAGGGGGTAGAGCGGGAGGAAGGCGCAGTTGTGCTCGTACAGGTATCCGTGCTCCGCGATGAAGAGGAAGTGCTCTGCGTCCCAGTGGGACAGCCCGCCCAGCAGCCACTCCACCAGCACATCCCACGGGCTGGGCTCCGACAGCCGAGGGGGAGAGAAGGCGTCTGCGGCGTGGTCCGGGATCAGCAGGTTAAAGACAGCCTGGGAAAAAGAAGAGAGGGTTGAAGACAGGCAGGGATCCTCCGGTACCGAAAGCAGCGGGCAGGAGAACTCCTGGGGTTCAAACAAAGGGATAAGAGCAGCACCAAAGTCAGGCTGAGGGGCCTGCAAGGTTGGGAGAAGGGGCAAACACAATGTTTTTTTGTATCTGAACAGAATAAAGCCATGGGATGTATCCAGGATGAATCCCCATGGAACTGCCCAGGGAAGGCTGCTCAGGCCGCACACGCTCACTCCAGGCACCTCTGCAGCCTCCAGGTTTCCCCATTGAGCAGAAACACCTCATGAGGAGAGAAGCCTGGGAGCAGCAAACTCCAGCTGTCCCAGCCCCTCTGGCTGAAGGACAGGACACTTGCCTGCAGCAGCAGCGTCAGGGCTCGGCAGCGCCCGGCGAACCACACGACCTCCCGGAGCTGGGGGTCTCCCCTGCTCACCAGCTCCATTCCACGCTTGGAAGTTGCCTCAGTAGGTCACTGATGTCAGGGGAATTCTCCCTCCGGTTTGGGAAGCCTGGGTTGATAAACAGAGAGGACAGAGAAAGGGGTTTCTGGCTTCAGCCTCATTTATAAATGATGCGCCTTTGTTTACTATCAGGCACTTCAAAGGGTGCAAATCTCTATGAACAGGAAAGTCACTGATGGGGAGATGACGCAGAGACCTCTTTGATATTGTTCCTATTAAAAAAAAAATTCCCTGACTTCTTAACCTTGGCTAGGACACAGAGGGAGAGAGGTTATGTCATGTACTCTGAGCCCATTCCTCACCGGACTGGAGTAAATCCCTGGAGCAGACAGGCTCCATAGCTGCCTCAGCAGGAACACCAGCAGCTGGAGCCAGGACTCCGCCAAGCCTCTTCACACACATCCAGTTCCAGTGCAGTGAATGAGATTTAAACCTCTTTTTCTTGGAATGGAGACAGGATTCATGTGGACTCTGAGCGCAACACCCGTGTAAGCAGTTGCTGTTTGCCCCCGCAGAGCCAAGAGTGGATGAGCTCAGCATTTACTCCATGGCACCATCTCTGTCAGAGGAAGGTACACAGGTACACAGCTTTCCCTCAGCCCAGACAGCACCTCCGGGACACAAATTTTGCACCCCTCCACCCTCACCACCTGCAGTTCTCCAGTATTTTGGCAAAACCTCCTGACTCCAGAGCGCGGGCACCTGCCTGGCAAACACACTGCACGTGCTGAGGTGGCTCTCATCCACCTCCTCCCTGCAAATCCCACTTGAAGGATTTAAAACTCCTTGTGGAGCCCCCTTGGTTTAATTCCTGTACTCCCTGGATGAGGTGGTGGCCCAGCTCTGAGCCCCTGGCCCCGTGCCAGGGGAGGGGGGTGGGATCTGCTGTGCAGGTTTTTGAGATAAGACATTTCTTCCGTTGGTTACCCCGGCCACAAACTGCTTTTCAGTTTGAGAAACACACAACCCACAGCTCTCACCGGGTCCCAGTGACACCACATCCTGCACTTCCGTCTGCCCTGGCACTTTGTAACACATAAAGGTCCCCAAATCGATCGCTTGGCAGTCTGAAATCACCCAGAGGGGTCTCTATTGCTGTTTTACTGATGGAGGAAAAACCCTGCCAGGCTGCAACTGCACGAGAGAGCAGGAAGCGAGTCACCAGCAGGGCAAAACCCAAGCTCCAAAACCACTCATTGATAGTTCCAGTCCCCAGCCATGGGGTTATGCTTCTTATTTAGCCACAAATAAAAGTTTCGGAGTTGTTCCTATTCCCCTTGTGCTCCCCAGCACTCCCAAAGCAACTAGTGGGAGGCACATTCTCCTGAATCACGAAGCTGTGACGTTATTTTAAGCGAGGGGACACTTCAACCCAGCTG